ATGAAAACCGTTTTTATTGGTTTTGTTTACCTTGCTGTGTGCATGTTTTCTGTTTACCCTGCTCGTCAGCCACTCTTTCAACTGCAGTGCAGATGTGTCTGGGCTGGTACCTGTAGAAAAACCTCTGCTTATGCAAAATCCGTGTAGAACTGACTTAAAGCTTCACCTCCTCTACCTGCAGTGCTGGCTGTTTTGCTGCTGCAGGAGGGGTGTGAAGTCTGCAGAGCGCGCTCCGTTCTGCGTGGGTGATGCCGCACCAGCCAGTGTGCAGATTTGACTTGGCTGCTTTCCCATACGGAGGCATTTTCAACAACCATGTGTCTGCTTCCAGGTTTATGCTTTCAGTATTTTTTTGGTGTATCCCGTTTTTCTTCAACTTCTGAAGGTGTGGAGACCTCATACTGCTTTTATACCAGTCAGCATGAAGAGGCCAAATCCAGTTGCTCGGCCTGTCTTTGAGATGCAATGCCTGTGCTCCTGGGAGGTGCTTTTGGCTGACCCGTGCACGCTGGGTACCGCCTTTTAGGGACAAATGGAAGCTGTATTCTTTGACCGAGATACTGGCTCCTTTCTGTCCCTTCTCACCTGAAGTTACAGGCCGCAGTTCGCACTCCAGGCTGACAGCTGTTCTGGAAAACCACCGGCAAGACCCGCTTTCCTTTAATGGCAGGAATCGTGATGTGCTTCCAAATTACTGACCCTCGGTTCAGATGTGCATTGAAGGTGCAGCCCTTCTGATTCAACTAGGTGCTGTTCCGCCTCGAAATCCTCCCCTTCCTAGCGTGGTTTAAAAATCCCCTGGAATTTCAGATGGCGGAACACGGCCGTCTGTTGCTTTATTGTGAGAAGTCAGGCAGCAGCAGAGCACAGGGAACCTGGGAACACCATGTGTTTCCCTTAGTACTTTGGGGACGGTGAGAGTGCGGGTTCTTGGGAGCCTGAGCACACAACCGGTTAAACACATCGGTGGGGAGAAGCCGCTGTGTGAGCGGTGCCCTGAATCCGGTTGGTTTCTCCGAATGCCGTCGCTCTTTCAGCAGTTGTTCCAGGCTTGTCGAAAGGTTCCTCAGTTTATTCGTGTTTGGGTGGGAGCCGGGAGGTTCCTTCAGTATTTCAGTCACTGAGATTTCGGGATCTCCGGTTCCGCTTGCCACACCGGACCGAGGGGGTCGGTACTGTCAGTTCCCAACTTCTGAGCAGCTACTGAAGTAAAATACGGTCTGGGAAGCCGTGGCTGGGAACCACTGGTGCTAACGTACCCGCTGCAGTAGGTTTGAGGGATATGAAAATGCATGCGATAACCTAATCTTAAAATATTTTCCATCTTCTTTCTTCAGCTGGCTCTGTGGCACCAGCACCGTGTGGTTACCGGAACGTTTCAAAGCAGAGTTTGACGCCTGGGGTGGTCTACAAAAAACCTCCCCCAGACGACCGAGTTCTCAGCAGTGCCGTGTCTCCCCCTCTGCTGAGAGGTGCGAAACCCCCACCTGAAAGGGGGACTTTGGAAGCATGGACAGATGAGAGACTCGTTCTGGCTGATGGCAAGGTGTTTCAGGATCACCACTCTTACGGAAAGAGCTCTCTGGAAGACAATTCCTGGGTATTCCCAAGTCCTCCAAAGCCTAACGAGAATGTCTTTTGGGAAATGAGAAATAAGACAGCTTTGTTAAACTCTCCAGCAGATTACCTGGATCAGTGTAACCAAAACTGTCTGCCCAAGAGTTAAAGGATGTTTGTAACGACCCGAGGCATTTCTAGAGCGAGGTTCTCCATAGGCACCTTAACACTTGAGCTTCTAAAGAGGGAAAACAAATTGCCGGCAATGTCTGTTCTTCAGTTCTTGTCCCGACACAGAACGCCTGGTCTTCCTCCGCCGTCGGTTGGGAGCGAGCCCCTTGGCGTTAACGCTGCGGCGGAGCGATGTTGGACAGAGACGTCTGGGCTGGGGCCAGGGCAGCCGTCTACTGTGAATGGCACGCATCTGTGGGAGGCTGCACCGGAAAGGGAGCCCTGGGAATAAACCGAAATGACCCAGCTCTGCCCTTGATACCTGACACAAACAACAAACGAGAAGGTCCCACCAGCTCTGAGCTTATGGCTTTTGACAGTGGTTGGGGTTTTTTCCGACTAAAATGTCACATGAAGGATTGGATTCTCTCTCCCTCCTTTCAAGTAACAGATTGCTCTGGTTTAGAAATGCATTTTTAACCAATAAAGGTGAGATTTTTTTTGTGGGGGGTGGGGGGTCCAAAATCCTGATTTCTCTTAAGACAGTGGTAAGAGAAAATTCGCTCCTAAGCTCTCCTGTTCAGATTGCCGCATTTTTTGGGCCTTACTGTGAACTACAAAGGATTGTTGAGTATTGCCACTGAAGGCTGTGGATCCTGGAGATGCCCAGATCAGCGTGTTCCCTGCAGTTTGTGCCGTGGGAACCTGACTGGCTCCTGGGCAGAGCTGGGGGGGGTGGTGACCCTCGCTGTGCCTCCTTTGCGCAGCCCCTGGCCCGGGACTTGCGTCTGTGCGGCAGCGAAGGCTACGCGCCGTCTCCTGTTGAAGAGACGGCCTGGGTTCATCGGGCCAGGCGTTGGAGCATCACTGGTACCGCAGAAACACTGAGGGGCATCTTAGTGTGCCACTGGGAACGAGGGTGATTGGAACGGCAGCTGCCTGCTCTAGATGTGATGGGTGTCCAAGTAATGCATTTTTCCTCTGGAGGCCAAGAACCGTTTTTAGAGAAATAGAACTTTTAGGCTTTTTTTTTTTAACTGCTCTGCTTCCTATCTGGTTTATAGAACAGGGTGAAGGGAAATGCCTCGACTGCTCAGTATGTTGAAGAAAAATGCTTTGTGTGTTAGACCCGTGATACTGAACGTGTAACGGGTGGCGAGATCCCACGTGTATGCTACTTACAGGTGGATGGGCGGAGTATTCAGCTTCACAGGTCCGGCTTAACATCAGCGTAATAAACATTCATTTCTCAGCTGTTTCCTAGCAAATGGTCTTAGGACTGCGGGTGGGTGCAGGGGGAAGCCGTGACTGTCGCACAGCCGTAGCAACCGTGAGCCGTAAAAGCGTTGCCGAGGTGCCACATGACCCATGTGGTTCCAGACGCTTTCCCTGTGGAGTAAGTCCTTCATCTGGCAGCCATCGCCTCGTCCTCTTCCAGTTCCTCTCTGGAAGCTGAAACAGTGCCTTCAGGCACCCCCTCCCCTCTTAGCGAAGGGCACGCGTGAACGATGTGCCCCGCTCGGCAGATTCCTGGTTTATCTTCCTATTGTCTTGCTCATGTGCGCTGCCTCGTCTGTGACTAATGGAAATGGGGTCAGATGCTGGAATTTATTCTGACCAGTGAACACAGCTGACTCAGGGGAGTAGGATCTCTTGGAAAGGAATAGAACAAACCCCAGTATGCATAAACCAAATCCGAGTCACAAGGCTGCGGCTGGCAGAGCCAACTACCTGTGTAATAACGAGGCAGCAGGAAATGTTTCTCGTGCGGCCGAGCGAGCTGCCTGGTGCCGGCGTCTTGCGCAGCTCCTGGTCAGGGCTCCCCCCGCAGCACGGCAGAGGCTCTCCTACCGCGTGTGGTATCTGGCAGCCGGGGGCGCAGTTAATGCTTTGATTTGTACAATGAAGGGATTCTACTGTGTAAGATTTTAAATAAATCTATTTTTGTTTGAAATCGGTTTTGCTTACAACTCTCGGTACTTGGGACATTATTTAACTCAGTGGTGATTCCCTGACTGTGTACAAAGGTCATTAATTCAAAACACAGAATAAGTTTCAGGTTCATCCTCCTCTGTTCAGGGGAAATCCCAAATGTCCCCTGTAGCCTGATTCCGTGCGTTCTGGGAAGTGTTCTCAGGGATGCTGAAACCCAAAGGACCGTTCGTTACCTTAAGCTACGGGGTGTTCCTGGGGCTCAGCTGCCTGTGTCCCAGGGTTCCTGCTCGGCCTGTCCTGTGTGACAGGGACCTTCACACTGAGTCTCCGGGCAGTGCCCGAGAACCTCCAGGCTTTGCCTCGGATCCTGGGTTTATCCTCTGTGCAGCATCCCGTGCTGGAGGAGAGAGCAGCGGTGCTTGCCCAGAGGGGCTTGGGAAGAAGTGCCGATAGCGGCGAGAGGAGGGCGGGATGAGGGAGAGCTGCTGTAGGCAGTGTTTTTTAAATACATCCAGGGAAACAACTGATTTTCCACTAACTGATTTCGAATATTTCTGTTTTCCAAAATGCTTGAACTGAGGAGCC